TACTCAAGATATGCAATCTTGACTGTCTGTGTCTTTACGGGCCAATTACATCGAAATCTTCCTCTCACCTGTAGCCTTGCACTGTCCAGTCCCAGCGGTCAGCACATACCCATCCTGACATTCACACGCAAGAGATCCATTGGTACGGACACAAATTTGATCACACTCATCTGAATCAAGACAGTGGTCCACATCTAGAAGTGAAAAGTTAGTATTTGAGTGGAAAAGTTAAATCTACTATGACACTTTTAAAAGATAATACATGTTTTGTGTGTTTTTGAAGACAACTGATTTATTGTGGTAAACTATAGCATAACCAAAATAGTAAAGCAGGACAAGCTAATTTTATGACATTTAAATGAGTATTCAGTAAATGTTCCCATATTAACACACAAAGAAATGATCGGTTTCATCTCACAAGGAGCCTGTCGCCTCACAGGGGCAGGCATGTTTAGATCATATGAGCTGCTGAATACTACTACTTTTGTACACTACATGGAAAAAAAATGTATGAACACTGACTGTTCTACTGTGCTATTTCTACAACAACACTGTAACTAGTTTACATTGGACCATGCAATCATTTAAACAGTTGACCAGTGTGACTAAATTCTCACCCTGACAATGTGTGTCCTGGACCAGCCTCATTCCACTGGGGCAGTCACACATGAAACCAAGGGGTAGATCAATACACAGGTGAGAGCAGCCACCGTTATGGATGTCACATTCGTTGTCATCTACAGAAACAGAGAAATAAAGACAAATAGTTAATTTATCTAAAAAAAAATTCTACATCTTTCTCTGCATGTTATTTTTAATCCATATATATATATATATATAATTAATACACTGCTGTTCAAAAGTTTGGAATCTGTTCAAAAGTTTGGAATCAGTAAGATTTGTAATGTTTTTTTTAAAGAAGTCTCTTCTGCTCATCATGGCTGCATTTATTTGATCAGAAATACAGAAAAGAAAACTGTAATATTGTGAAATATTATTGCAATTTAAAATAATGGTTTTCTATTTTAATATACTTTAAAATATAATTTATTGCTGATCAAACCTGAATTTTCAGCATCATTACTCCAGTCTTCAGTGTCACATGATCCTTCAGAAATCATTCTAGTATGCTGATTTAATAGGCTTATTTTAAAGCACTTTTTACACAAGCATCTATAAGTGTCCTGATTCAGATCATCTCGTTAGAAGTGAGCTCCGTGCATGAACTGTGTTCCAATTGACATGCTCCCTTGACACAGTGTCCATTGCTCCCTACTCCCTGAGCAGGGGAAATCCGTTGAAGTTTACTTCACTTCGGAATATTCATTTACAGATTTGCGCTGCGCCACTGCCTGCAGCGTCTTCACACCCAAACAAAACTTACAAGAGAAGCGTGAAGTGGGACATAATATACCTCTGTAAATAAATACTATTTAAATTCACGTCTCGCACACTTAAATGCCCTTTGTATGGAACATATACGCTCCCTTCAAACTGGAATCATGGAGGAATATCCGGTAATGTCCACTTCGCAGGGCACTTACAGTCAAATATAGCAAATGTATGAAGCAATAAGAGAAACACACAAAATGTGCAGAGCGGGGGTACGCGAGGACTGGAATTGAGAACCGCTGTTCTAGACATGCCAAAAATTTGAGGCTACAGCACAGCAGCTCTTCTTCTTCGTCGTCTCCTCTGATGCGCTCACTCAACCAAGCGTTCTAACCACGACCTCGCCCCTCCTCACCCCCCAACCATTTGAATTTCTGTAGGCGGGAATTATTTTAATGATATTCCAATGAGCCGCTTTGTGATATCACAAAGCCCGGAAAACAAACGCTGTAGTCCAAACGAGCCGTTTGCTGTAGTTCTTGAAAATGGATTTTTAAAAAACTGAATATCTCCCTTTGGAGTGGACTTTGAGATTTGTAACTTTCTAGATCTTTTTTATGCCCAAACATTACACACTGACTAAAATTAAAAAAGTGAAAAGGCATAATAGGACCCCTTTAAATGTCATGTATTATAATATGTTCAATTAAAATATGGGCAATTACGTAAATATTTTATGCCTGTATATAATTCATAGAACAAATGTACCTTTTCAGATGAATCCTTTTTACTGGGATTCTGCTTTGTCTGTCATGGGTTATTCAGTGATGTAATTAAACTATCAAAGCACAATTTTAAATAGATTAGTTGATTTAGTATTTTATATTAATGACACTTTAAAATATATATAAATATTAATACGAATGTTATCAAAAGTCATTTATACATTCTATAAAATTTAGTAAACTTTTTTCATTTACATTCTGTATAATGAGAGGGCCAACTTTAGGGTTGGGCCGATAGACGATGCCATCGTCCATCGCCGATTGCTGATAGACATCACAATGTTGAGCACCACGCTTTTCCCTCGCAGTATATCATTGGGTAATTATACTACATATATTTCGGGCATCAGGGAGCCGCTATTATACCTGGCATTGAAACTGCGTTTGAATGCACGATCGGTTTTTAGTTTCACTTTCACTTTCGACATTCACGATCGCACGTACTCTGTTTATACTACGGAGCAGCAGTACTTACCACACATTTTACAAGATTAGATGTTTGTCAGTGGTGCTCAGGATCTGCAAATCATTCGCCATCGTCCTCAATCATCTCTCCTTACTCTGTTTATGTGATAAGTGAAATTTTATGTACTGTAATGTAACAGGCACACCGTGTCCGAGCTTGTAGATCGTGTACACTAATTCGGGCACTGGTAAGTTCCCTGACTCACTGCACTTTGGGACAGTGATCACTCGAATTCCAGTGACATGATTACGTACAGCGTCAATGGACAACTTAGTAGAACGTCACCGCTTGAATTAATAAACAACAGACAGAACCGATCTCCTTTTTGATATTATTTTCTATTCTCTTTAAGCACATCGTTCTGTTACATGTTCTTACAACATTTCAGCCGAATATTAATTATAAATGTTATATAAATGTGTTTGTTACCTGTCTAGCTATGTGCATAAATGTTGAAATATATACGAATTATGTTGAAAAAAACGGGTTGTCTTTTCAAATCTACTATAGCGTGTCATTATATTTATCGAGTTGGCTCATGTGATTTATGTTTTACGCTTCAGAAATGTGACGCTATTTCCGGTAAGGGAGCATAGTGAGCTCCGATGCTCCCTAGTTTTTGTGGTGCATTGTGGGACTTTTCAGGGAGCAAACGTTCCAGTGCACTGGAAGGATTTCACGATTGAGACAGCCTTTAAAATGGCCGACTCCCTGATCAGTGCCCTAACTACTGAACAAGGGAGCTGATTGAGATGCACCATCTGTCTACACTGGATGCAACAAAGAGACCATTGAAAATCATTTGAAATTTGTGTCAGCAGCACGTCATAAATAGAACGCGGCAGCAGTTTACTGTCGGGGATTTGTCGTGTCGCGCCACACCGCACCGCATCCAGTGTAGACAGCATCACTGATTATAATAAGTTCTATACACTGATATATAATGAATCGCTGTTATAGATCAGTGGTTCTATAGTATTTTGTCGCACCGCTTGCTTCCGGTGTAGACACGGTATTAGAAATCGTTATTTGTTTTCCGTGCCATATATAAGGATCCAGGGTTCAGGCAAACCCCCGCCCCCGCTGATGTCTTCGTCCATCGCGATGTTTCACTGTAGACATCGTCCAACCCGTTTTATTTGTAATGTTGATTAGGGATGTAACGATTAACCGCGAGCCAGTTAAAAATCTATTTAAATATGTGACGATTCAAATCGGTTGGGATGCTAAACAAATTGCGATTCAATTAGGGGCAGGCGTTTATATGAATGTATGTCTGAGGGGAACTTACTGTCTTTAGAAAAGTTTAGATGGTATTTTTTCTTTTCCTCTTGCCTCTGTATAATGCATATTAAAGTTCATAAGTGCAGCGCTGCTTTGTTTACAGCGGAAATCAAGGAAACGCATTAAGCGCCACCTACTGGCAGAGAGTGAATCTGCGTCTCATTCAGCTCCTCTGCTGTTTGTTTCATGCAGATATTTTTTATGCATAGTTTCACAAAACTGAAGTCAAACCATTTTGTTTTTGCTTAAAATTTCGAAATTATACAATGTAATTTGTAATGTAATGTAATGTAATTTGGTTGCCTCTAATTTTAAATGTAAAGAGCACAGACAAAGACTTATTTTGTTTATATGAAGAGATTTCTTTTATGTTATTTATTTGATTTGGGGCTTGTTTTAAAATTTCAATTTAGTTTTGTTATTTACATTTACATTATATTAAAATTTTGGTATTTAGCAAATGCTTTTATCCAAAGTGACTAACAAATGAGGACAATAGAAGCAATCAAAACCAACAAAAGAGCAATAATTTACAAGTGCTATATTAGTATATTATTATAGTGTTATATTTCAGTTTCACAAAGAAACGTGCAGTATTTTGTCCAAGCAATAATAAAAGGACACATTTAATTTATAATTTGTCTTAAATCTCATTTTGTTAAAAAAAAAATCGTGAATCGAATCAAATAGTGAAATCAAAATCGTGAATCGAATCGAATCGTGAGTTGAGTGAATCGTTACATCCCTACTGTTGATTCATGAAAATCTATCATCATATCCTCATTGTTAAGTGTTGGTTGACAGGAAATATTTGATGATGTTGATGAAGTTACATAATGGCTACATAACGTCACAATGTTCCCGTCGTTGTACACAAAAATCGGGACACTTCTTCTTTGATAACCATTTGTCACATTTTATTTGTAATGCATATCTTGATAGAAGTGTTGGTTCTGAAAATGTCACAAAGACAGAGTAATCAGAGTGCAGCAGTCTTGTCTCTCCTGGTGTGTCCTCATTTGCCCTTGTGAAAAAAATCAGTGCTGCAGTGTCACATCTTCTCTCCCTTTATTCCTGTTCCATTTCAGATTCACATTTAATCTATGCCATGTCAAGTATTATGATTAATATAATGCCTGTCAGACAGACTTAAAGAAATGGTAGTTAAAGCTGTGATTTTGAGGTCTCTCACTGTCTCTGATTCCCTCTTTCTCTCAGACTCTAGTAACGTGTGGGTGCGGGTGTGCCATGCCGAGGCTCACAGAGGACTAAAGCAGTACTGTCAGGCTTTAGAAAACTGGGAGAACTGCCTGATTGCTACCCCATCCCCAGAGGTACATCGATGAATTTTCCTAACACATAACGCCACAGATGGCAAATTCACAGTACATCAGCACACTTTTACAAATATCATTGTAGCTGGATTGTTGCTTTAAAAACAGGTGGCAAACTCAAGTTTCCAATTTACTATCCATGTGTGTCTGAAATCGCCCCCTATACTCTTAAATAGGGCACTATTTGAGGAGACAGCCATTTTTAGTGGTGTCCGAAACCTTGTTTGGCATTATCGAGTGCACTCATTGAATCCTACAATGCACAGCAATAACGAGTATACAACTGATGTATACTCAACGGCTAGAGAATACCCATAAAGCACTGTGATAATCGCGCACCAAATTAATTGCCGCGTCTCGCCAGAATATAGCACCCTTAGCTAAATCATCTATACAATTCACTCACTCGTTTTCATTTATTCCTTCAAGTGAACTGTATTAGTGGCCTAATGTAGGAAATAGTGAGTGAGGGTATAGGGGGTGATTTCGGATTCAGTACAAGAGTCAATATGCAGCCGTAACTCAAACGACAAATGCTTTATTCTCAAGGCTAAAATATTATGTTATGTTATATTTAGATGTTTTTGATTACATTTGTTTCTCAGCTACAATAATAGCTGGAAGTTATACTGCTATAAAGTGACGTGACGTGACGTGACATGTGGCCAAGTATGGTGACCCATACTTGGAAAGTATACAACTGATGTATACTCAACGGCTAGAGAATACCCATAAAGCACTGTGATAATCGCGCACCAAATTAATTGCCGCGTCTCGCCAGAATATAGCACCCTTAGCTAAATCATCTATACAATTCACTCACTCGTTTTCATTTATTCCTTCAAGTGAACTGTATTAGTGGCCTAATGTAGGAAATAGTGAGTGAGGGTATAGGGGGTGATTTCGGATTCACTACAAGAGTCAATATGCAGCCGTAACTCAAACGACAAATGCTTTATTCTCAAGGCTAAAATATTATGTTATGTTATATTTAGATGTTTTTGATTACATTTGTTTCTCAGCTACAATAATAGCTGGAAGATATACTGCTATAAAGTGACGTGACGTGTGGCCAAGTATGGTGACCCACACAGCAGTGAACACACACACACCCGGAGCAGGTGGGCAGCCATTTATGCTGCGGCGCCCGGGAAGCAGTTGGGGGTTCGGTGCCTTGCTCAAGGGCACCTCAGTCGTGGTATTGAAGGGGGGAGAGAGAGCGCTGTACATTCACTCCCCCCACCTACAATCCCTGCCGGTACGAGACTCGAACCCGCAACCTTTGGGTTACAAGTCCGACTCTCTAACCATTAGGCCACGACTTATAATACACTTATATAAACTCTTGTTGAACTCCTGCAGGACTTAACATTTGATAAATGTTTTCAGTATTTCAGTGAGATCAGTATTTTTTTCAACAATTTGTACTTTATTTATTTTCTTATTTGCGAACAATAAGTAATATAAACAATCAAGTAGTTGGTCAATAAAAGGGTAACGATATAAATAATTAAATAGATAAATAAATGAAATATTAAGAAAAGTGAAAGAAAAAAGGGGAACAGTAAAGGAAAAAGCGGGCTTGTTTCAGATATTTAATCAAAGACAAACTTTAAAAACCTTTTATGAATGCTTTTTTATTGAAATTGTTTTAAATAGTTTATTTATTTGTTTACTTTTTCTATTTCTCACTTGTTCCTCGCAATGAATGTAACTGTGGTAGCAGTTACAAATTTGGCATGATGCTAAATTATAAACAATCAATCAATCAGATTGCTTTTGCTTTAAAACAATGATATTAAGTGCAAAACATTACAGACTTGTTTACAATATCTTTAATTGCAACATCGATATTTCCCCAGATAGAGAATATTACAATGGTGACATATTTAATCATGTGTGAATTAATTTCACAACAATAATGCTAATTACGTCACAGAAAAGGGTTATCCATATTATTTAGCCCTGCGTTTTTGTAGATTCTTGACCATGAATGAGTTTGAATATTTTTCTTTTTCAGTTCTGATTACTGCTATTCATTTGAAATATGAATTTCAGCACCTATATTTGTTAAATCAGCTCACTTTCACATGATTAAGTTATACAGGATGTTTGCCAAGCTGACAAGTGAGATAAGGAGATACAGACCGGTAGGGATAAGGCAGAGATGTGGGTCACTCAAGTGTGTATTTATCTTGTTGTGTGTCTCAGAGTGTCTTACTCTGTTTTTAGCCTTCAGGCCATTAACATGACTAGACTCTCAGTCCCATTCTAGTCAGATTAACCCAAAAACAGCATCTGTGCTACTGGAAGCTAAACTCATTTTAATTTGTCTCTCTCTTGCAGGGATATTTCCAGAAAGCAAAAATTCTCCAAGAGATGGGTCATGTAGATGAATCTCTGCAGGTCTTCCTTCAGTGTTTGGCATTGGATGAACACTTCCATCAGGCCAAACGAGAAGTGGAATTGGTGAGTTTAATTTCTGTTTTTGTAGTTTAATTCAGTTGGTATGATAAAAACAAAATTGGACTTCAGTACGTTACCAACTTCTATTTCAGTATTGATACTAAATTGATATTTTAGGAAACAAAACAAAAAAACATTCTCAGGTGACTGATGAAATAAGCTAGGGCATCATTTCAAATATAGAATATTTTATTCTACATAATATTATATTGTATTGTATTATATTATATTATGTTAGTTTAGCAGAAATTACAGAATGGCTAACATTGCTTACAGCATCATTAAGTTGAACATTTTGCTACTTTGCTACTTTTGGTCATCTAATATGAGAGTTGGAGTAATATGTTGGTTTATCTGGTTAACTGTGTTTTGTTTATTCAGGAATATATAAAGCCATTTGTTGGCGTTTAATAGTGTTGATTCATATTGTAGGTCAGATGTCAGGAGACAGAACTGTTTTATGTTCAAGATACAGTTTTAGTTATTTGTGTTCTTAAAGGTCAACTTATTGTAATGTGCTTTGGCCAAACTGTTTCATATCAGTTATGGACCATAATTAAATTATGTAAGATAATTATTACTGGTGAAGCCTTGTGACTTTCTGCCTAAGCAAGCACACAGAAAGACAAAGAAAGTGTGCTGTGTGCATTGCATAACCTGTGTATCTTTCAGAGTATGTGTGTGTGTGTGTGTGTGTGTGTTTACAGAAGGCTTAAAACACACTCTCTGATGTAATTAGGTGCTTTTTCTTTGGCCTACATTAAGACTGAGAGCTATTTTAAAGGAGAAATCATGATCTCTCAATTAACAAAGACTGGTGTCTTTAATAACAGTTCTGAGGCATGAACTCTAGCTTGCAGCACTTAATTCCTGTGATCTATTTGTCTGAATTTGAATAGAATGCAGCAAGATTTGTTGTGTACAACATACTGTTTTAAAGGTTTGGTGTTGCAAGATTTTTAAAGTGTTTTTGAAAGAGATACTCATCAAGGCTGCATTTTTTTTGCTCATTAATACACTAAAAACAGTAATATTGTAAAATATTATTACAATTTAAAATAACTGTTTTCTGTTTTAATATATGTAACAATGTAATTTATTTCTGTGATGACAAAACTGAATTTTCAGCAGTCATTACTCCAGTCTTCAGTCACATGATCATTCTAATATGCTGCTTAGGTTCAATAAATATTTCTCATTACTGTCAATGTGAACAGTTGTGCTTGATATTTTTTGGAGACCATGATACATTTTTTTTCAGAAATATTTTATGAATATAACATTAAAAACAGCTTCTTCTTTTTTTAAATATACATTTTCGTAACATTATAAATGTCTTTACTGTCACTTTTGACATAAAATTAATGCATCCTTGCTTAACAAAATTATTTCTAAAAATCTTGACCTCAAACTTTTGAACAGTACTGTAAATATGAATATATATTCTTAGTTATATTGTTTTCTAAACCTCTGTTAAACTGCCTTTTTGTTCTAAATTAATCTGTTCCATCTTTTTTTGTTCATCTTCAGATCTTGCATGACCTGTTGGCTCCGGCCTGTGATAATGTCAAGGTGTGTTTGAGCGAGACAACCCATAACACTTCCTCACACTTGCGCAGTAAAACCCTGGTGTCTGAGGGCCAGGATCAAGACCAGCAGACCCATTTGCAAGCCCGGCACCAGTCTATCACGCCAGCAGCATCTACCCATCTGTCCCCTACAACCACAGAGGTAAGCAGGTCACCCTTTAGCACCTTGTATATTAAATTAACTTTATAGATCTCTAGTTGACAGTGACATAAGCAGCTCTTAATACTTTAACTCCTAATTTTTCCATGTCTGCAGAAACCAGGTCGGTCTGAAAGTCTGGAGCGCTCTGGCCTGAGCAGAGCTCACTCCCTTCGTGCTCACGGGATAGGGGGAGCTGTAGAGGAGGGGCTTAAAAGAGTTAGCTCCGCCCCCCAGTTGGGGGACCCAGTAAAGGGGGTGCTGCTGAAAAGGAAGCTGTCTGTGTCTGAAGCAGGGCCTGGCGTGGCTTACAGCCACAGCAGTAAATATAAGAAGCAAGTAGGTAAGTCGTCTAGCCTGACAAGTATGTGATGCCAACACAAGGTTGAAAAGCCATGCAAATACTGTATTGACTACACATCTTAACATTTTTAGCTGGTAGTTCTCCAATGATTATAGTGAACCCTCACCAAGCTTCTATATTACACAGGGCTTCCTTAGACTTAGTTGACTTTTTGTTCAGTCTTTAAAATGTGCCGGTTTTTGTGTTTGCCTTACTTCCACTGGGACTGTGCTTTACTATCATCAGCTGAAAATGTCTGCAGTTTGAGTTTGCCCTAAATAAAGTGGTGTCCTCATGTCTCTGCTTTTCAACCTTTTTACTTCAGCGACTGCCAGTGCAGCTACTCCTGTAGTTACTGAGGAAACCAAGTCCCATCGAACCCTGCCAGAAGACCTGCTGGACCCGAATGATTTTGAATGCTCTCTCTGTATGAGGTGAGGAAAGAGTATGTTTCTAGAGTCAAATCGACTAAAAGCCAAATAAAAAATTAAAAGAGGAAAGGAAAAGTAATCAGTGCACTGTTTCTCCCATATATGCATTTAGAATAAATAATATAAAATATCTCTAGTTTTCAGTTATTTTAAGTCTGTTTGCTTTTTTTTATATTTGTTAATATTTTGCATAATGTTAACATTTGATTGAATGTATTTATTAGCAAATAAAAAATATTTTATGAAAAAAACTTTACATTTCTTTCAGAATTCTCAGTTATTTTTAATTAAATTAATTTAATTTAAATATTGTTAATATTTTATATAATGTCAAAATGGGATTTTTAATGTGTTTAATAGCAAGTTTGTTTATGATTTTTTAAAAACGTAACATTTCTTGCAGGATTTTCAATCATTTTATACGATTTGATTTAAAAAAAAAAAAAAGAGTTACAAGTTCATATAGCTTATATATGAAAAGGAATGTTTAATAGCAGATTAGTTTCTGCTTTGGTATCAAAATTGGTTGTGAAAATAAAACAATTTTACTTAATTTTACTGTTAATTTGGTATTGTGAAGACTGTGGCATTGTCCACTGGTGATGGGATTTGAGATGGGTTTTAAAAACCAGTTGTAAACAGGGTCTTAGAATAGCTTATCTTATAAATTACACAGTGCACGTATAGAAGACAAACTAGTAGAGCCTGTAATGTTTACCTCAGAAAACAAAAAAGCCTCAGCTGCCAGGCGTCAGGTTCATATATGGGTCAGTGACAGTGTTTAATATAGCTCAAGATCATCTCCTGTCTCTTTTCTAGATTGTTTTATCAACCTGTCACGACACCCTGTGGTCATGCGTTCTGCAAAAACTGTCTGGAGCGCTGTCTAGACCACAACCCCCAATGCCCTCTCTGCAAAGAAAGCCTGAAAGAGGTTTGTTTCAAAATCATAGACTGTGCATTTGCATGGCAAGCAACAATCAATTAATTATAATAGCATTCAGGGCTCAACAAGGTACATTTTATTATTTAAATAAATTATATTAATTCATAAAATTGTGTTGTTTTATTTTATTTTAAGATTCACACTTCAATCATACTTATAATTACATTCTAAATGATTTTTGCATTTGTAACCAATCCAATTCTTTCTGTATTTCTCTTGTTCTTCAACTTCTCTTTCTTGTGGTTCTCTTTCTCCTCTGTCTGGTTCCTCATACAGTATCTTGCCTTCAGAAAGTACACAATCACACAAGTGCTGGATAAAATCATTAAGCAGTATCTATCCAAGGAACATTCAGAGAGACTGAAGCTGCATGCAGAGGAAACAAACGAGCTCTCAGAGTAAGTTTGCACAAGTGTTTCATTTGTGGCTCATCTAATCCGATTCATCATTTTGTTTGGAAGTGGTACGTAATGTGAAGCTGCTTTTGCACTGATGCCAGACTTACCATTCATATGTTAAGCATAATCTTCTGGTTTCCATCCATCCAGTTCCAAATAAAATGAGAAAAAATGAAATGATGTACCTTGCATTTGTAAAGTATTTAATTCAGTGAATAATATCACACTGTGATATGTGATATTTGCATAAGTCCTTGTATCTAATCAACAAATCACACTCAATCTCTTTCTCTCTGTTATTTGTCTTTCCCCAGTTTAACAAAAAATGTGCCCATCTTTGTTTGTACCATGGCCTACCCCACTGTGCCTTGCCCCCTTCATGTGTTTGAGCCACGATACCGTCTCATGATCCGACGCTGCATGGAAACCGGGACACGTCAGTTCGGCATGTGCATCAGCGAAACCCAGAAAGGGTAAGTGTGAGCTTATATGAGATATCATGGGATCATAAGCATTAAGTATGTTGGATTATGTAGCTGACTTTTATATTATGATATATGAAGGTTTGTGGACTACGGCTGCATGCTCCAGATCCGCAGTGTGCATTTCCTCCCAGATGGACGCTCTGTCGTGGATACAATCGGAGGAAAGAGGTTTCGCGTCCTCTCACGTGGAATGAGAGATGGATACTGTATCGCCAACATCGAGTATCTGGAGGATATGAAAGTACGCACTTCTCATGGATTTTTAGATTACTGTAATGTAGAGGAATGCAGGAAAAAACAATGTCTTATAATGTTTGTGTTATTGTTGAGCAACAATAATAAAAAATAAAAAAATAAGGTAAATTATATTTTATTTAAATTTATTAAAATGTTAGCACCATAGTTTTCTAAGTATGAAAATGTTTGCAGTTGTAGACTTTTTAAACATTTTTGCTAAGTAGTGATTAAAATTTTGCATCCTTTTGCATGGAATGAAAGGCAGATACTGTACTGCAAACATCGAGTGTCTGGAAGATATGAAAGATTTTTAGATTACTGTAATGTAGAGGAATGCAGGAAACTTATCTGCCTATGTATAATTATGATAGTCTCCAGGGCTCAACAATAAGGATTTGATTAAAAATAAGGTAATTTTATTATTTTTTATTATTTTAGTTATTTAAATTTTAGCACCATAGTCACTTAGAAACCATATGTCCTTCTATGTTTGGAAACCATATGTCCTTCTATGGTTTATGTTGACCAGAAGTTAAATTAAGCTTAAAGATACAGTATTTAAAAAAATTGTGCATTGTAGGTCAATGATGAGGAGGATTTGGAGAAGCTACAAGTGTTACATGATCAGGTGTACGATCAGGCCCGTAAATGGTTCCAGAACCTGGAGAACCGCTTCCGGAACCAGATCCTGCAGCATTTTGGGCCAATGCCTATGAGGGAGGCTGACATCCAGGTATTTCCCGCTCTCTTAATCCCTACTACTAAGAGAAGCCCTGTCTCCCTTCTTTCTTTGCCCTACAGCAGGCTGCACAGTAGGAAGTAGGTCAAGGTGCATTCAGGGTTGGGTTTGCAAAAGTGCTGTTAGATCATAAATGTGTCAGAAAGAACGGAAGTTAATCTGGCAGCTCTCGCAAACACGCACACACTGTCTGGTAAACATATTAGCGTGTTGTCCTGAATACGGTTGGCATACTTTGAATAATAACGGAGGGAGGTTATGGTTGTGTAAGCTTCATGAACATAGCCGGGCCTTATATGGTCAATTTGAAGGGCCTGTCCTGTGATTTCTGAGTACAAATAGGATTTATACAGATGTTCAAGCTAGTTTCGTCAGCATTTAGTTTAGCTCATCGTTTCTATTTTACAAAATGAAAGCATGATATAAAAGGGGTCATATCATGAGGAATCAAAATTTCCTTGATCTTTTCAGATTAAAGAAAGTTTGATGTTCTATGTAACTCAGAACTTCCTCTTGAGTAGAAAAAGAGCTGTAAAACGTCACATCAGTGGTGTTCAGAAACTTGATCTGCCTGGTCGTGGTGAGGTAAAAAAGTTAAAGCAGGACTGAATAATACCAATACCAATTCTAGCCAATATCAATGAGCTGATAATTATTTTTATAAAATTATTAGTTTTTTGTTAGGTTATGGCTGATAACCGAAAAGCAGATTTTAAAATTAAATAATATTTTGTAAAAATAAATAAAAAATAAAAAACTAAAATCAGTAGTTTTAAATCCTAGGCATCACAACATTTTAATGTACAATTTAAAAATTGAAATAAATTTTGAAATTAGCTAAATATTACATTTAATTATGTTGTTTAAAGAACTGTTTTAAGAAAATTACCTTAAAGTGAGTATTAGATGCAGCGTTTTTATTATTAACTAAAAGAAACTATTTAAAATTTGTTTTAATTTAAGTAAAAAAAGGCTGAAATAAAATACAATATAAATATTAGACGATTAAAAACTTGAAACATAAAAAATATTTAACAAAAATTACAAAAGTTGCCTTGGCAACTAACCGAAATAAAATAAGTTTAAGTTGACATACTAAAATTACTAAAATAAAATAAATTAAAGCTAAGTAGAAATATAAAAAGACATCATAAAAAAGACAAAAGCACATGTAATTACTAAAACTTAAACTAAAATTAAAATAAAGCTGAAAAATAAAAGCTAATTTGAAATAATTATAAAAACCATAATAGTACAGAAATAATACTAAAATAACACTACATTAGCATTAGCTAATAACATTAGCTTAATCTTAAGACACTAACCCTGTTTCTTTATTTCTTTGTTTTCAAGGCCACACCTAATGGTCCAACGTGCTGTTGGTGGCTGCTAGCTGTTCTTCCTGTCGATCCACGTTACCAGCTGTCTATCCTTTCCATGACAACACTAAAAGAACGTCTAGTCAAGATCCAGCACATCCTCACCTACCTGCAGAACTTTTCCAGCAACTAGAGCTTCCACCCAAACACACACAGAACTCTATTTCCACCAGCTAATGTCTGTGTCCTTCTTGCTGGCCAACATGCAAAAACTCTATGGTGCTGAATGATGAAGAACTAATGAGAATTTAGGGAGACTCCACTGAAAGCCTGACACAGATTTCTACCTGTGGGGTTAGATGTAATTCATGCCGAGAGTTCTAAGAACAAAGTGTTTTTCGTTGTTTTGTACTACCAATCTGTTCATCAACATCTGACTTTTCTTTGTGCAGATTCCTGTAGTATTTATTGCTGAACAACCTGTCCGTTCTCATTTAGTTGAAACAGTCTTCTTAAAATCACATTTCCGTCTAATGCCTGTAGCCTCCATACAGTGCTTTGATGGCAGAAATATTGCTGGAGAGCATTCCAACATTTTCAACGTGATCACACCATGCTTTGTGTGTGTGTGTGTGTGTGTGTGTGTGTGTGTGTTGAAGTAGACAGGGAGCATCTGCAAAAACAAAATCTTCAAGGTACATTTTTAGGCACCAAGGCAGAAGGCAAGACTATTCGAAATATATTTTCTTCTTCACTTAATACTCTGGAAAAACAAAAGCAGGAATATTGCTTCCGAGCATCCAGCCGAGCTTTCGCACAAGAAGTCGTTGTCGCACAGGCAACAGCTGAGTTGCCTAAGACAGAGAAAACTCTGACGATGCACTTGTATTCATTTGGGTTGCTTTTGCAGTAATGGACGTCAATGAAGCTAACACTGTCCCATCCTGTCTCAAGCTTTCAGCTCAGAGGTGGGCATGAGACTGTTTAGCATAGATTTATTTCTGCCGGGGAAATAATTAGGACTTCCAGATATCTGGATAGTTTCGTTTCAGACGTATCGTTCATTTGCTGTGGGTTTGCTTTGGTCAATCAAAAACAGCATAAACAACATGTCTCCATATTGCAAGTGTCTCTGTTAGTTACAAGCTGCTCTTTGTCAAGTTCTTTAGAAGTCATTTTAAGATATTGCTAAGATATTGATATATTTTATTTGTGTAAACAAAGGGAAACTTGCAATATTTTGACAGATGTAGACAAGTGAAAAACAAACTATCGTTGGCTGCAACCAGCACCATACTGAAAGGAGACCCAGCAAGCATTCTACATATTGACAGTGATGAATGCTAACTCGCCTGTGTGGTGCATGTTGTGTGCAAACTAACTTTTGCCTTATAATACCTTGCCGCATTCTGCTCCTATGGTATAATGTATCGGCTTGGGTTTTTGCATTCCTGTTGATGGAGAAATAATTCTGTGGTTTAATTTAATTCATTCGCCTCTTGGCCAAAATCCTTTCAGTGTGAAAAATATGTCGGATAATGGCTTTGTTGTATGTAAATCATTTTGTTTTGAAAAATATTATTTTTATAGCTCTGCTCAAATATTTAAGTTGTGAATTTTCAAATAAAACGCACATCTTTTTCATTGTATGTGTTTATTGTATTATTATTATCATCATCATCATCATCATCTATCTGTCCATACAATTTTTTTTAATACATTTCCAAAACAATTGTTTTATGTTGGGTTGCAGGATGCTGGAGCCTAATTTATTTATTTATTATTATTCATTTTCTTCTTTTTACTGACAATAATTACAAACTATTACATAAACAATTTGACCTATGTATGGTCACAGGGATGCTGGAGCCTAATTTATTTATTTATTTATTATTATTACTATTATTCGATAATAATTAACAAATTAAATTTTTATTAATTAACATTTATAATATTATTAAACAACATTTATTATGATTATTATTATTTTCGTTACCTATATCCTCCACTAGACCGCAGCAGCGTCTCTGGTTATGCAACAGCAGCATGTTTCATAACTCGCAGACTTGTCCTGTTCTTACTACTTATTAGATAATCCACCACCCTGCATCGAACAACCAGAATATTCTCACAGAGTTTCAGACCTTTATTGAATACAAATATACTCTGTACATTTCTACATAAATATCCGCAGTTTATGCACAACGTATTAACAACTTGACTGACAGGTTTGATGATCCGTGATTTAAAAACATCAGACATCCAGCTATCGGAGAGACAGCATCATGACAAACTCTGAAAGAAAGCAAAGGCAAAACTGTCAGTTCGTGTAAGCTTAATTGTCGTTATTTAGTCGACTAGTTTACTTCGACTACACCTGTTCTCGTGAACGCGAAGGTGTGTGAGGCTTTTCCCTGAAATGTCACTTGAGGGCTTCCGTACGAATCAACGGATATCACTTGACGGTATTCGCGTGAAAATTGTTGTGAAAAGCTTGTTTCAGAAGTTCACATATGTATCCAATTCTTGCACATTTAGCTTGTTTTCTCGAGCTCTAAATGGCTCCCCTGAACTACAGTTAGTTAATATGCGGAAAACATATAATAGAGATTAAAGATGAAATTGGCGGGAATTGTCACCTGAGTGAGGTAAGCAGCCGCTTACAGATTGTTGTTGTGTTATTAACAGGTTCCTTCATTTATATATAATTTTTAATTAAAAATCAAGAAAACATAAAGGTTGCTATAGGGGTGTCTGTGTACTCCACTGTTGGGGTGAATGTCCCCTGTAGGAGTGGTATATTGGTTGTTTGTTGTTTTGGGGCACTAACTATGGTAAATATCTAAATAACTAACCTTGCAACTGTGGTTACATACATAGTACTTTTTGTAAGGGTTTTTTGTGTATTTGAAAAGGAAAGGGGTTAGGGATATGGAGTGATGTTACAGACAATATTCAAAAAGGAATTGCAAATTGTATTTGCAATTGTGTTTTCTATTTGTGGACACATATGTTGTGACAATCCAATTGCAAATCATGCATTTGTGTTTTCATTTTCTTTTCCATGCAACATGTCCGCCCAATTTTGAATGGAAATGCAAAGTCCATTTGCAATTGCATTTCCAATGTCTTGTAATAGCAATAGATTATCACCCATTTGCTATTTCACTTCCTCCGCATCCTGAACTTTTGCCTATTTGGTGATTAGATTAACTGTTCCCTCTTGAGTCAGTCTCTCAACACTGTATCATCGAAGATGTCGCTTTGGGGTTATCTCCTTCCTTGAATCTACTGAAACCTTATGAAATCTCGCGGGCGATTTTCATATGGAATGGCATTCAAACACGCAAATTAGAGGTGGGCTCCCCCGCACTATAAGGCGGCGCTGAACGCCATTGCCTCAGAATTTTCTCCTTCAGCTACAAGCTCGCCGTTGAGGTACGCTCATCCGGGGGGCGGTGCCTGGATTGCCGCTCCCTTGCAGCGTTCCAGTGAGTATGACATTACTTTCAGATGCCTTCTGGACTGCGATGGTTCTGCCTGGGCAATGCCCACTCAGAAGCAGCACTGCACGAGTCTGTCTGCCATCAAAAACAGCGTTGGACCTTATGGACTTCAGTGATGAGCCCATGCGGACTAAGCATCCGCATTCTTCATACCTAACCCTTCAGGAAGCTCGGCTTCTCATGCTCTCCCCTGCCACACGACATAAGCTGTCCTCTGTCTCAAAGCAGCAGTATGCCGTGTTCAGACTCAGGGCATGGGAAAAGATCCAGTCACTTACTCAAAAGCACGATAATAAGAAGCCCACTGTCTCAGAGCAGCGGTCTGCCGTGATCGGAGCATGGAAAAGCTCCAGTCACCCTCTCTTCACGCAATTTAGGCCATGTCCACACGTACATGGGTATTTTTGTAAACTGAGTTTTTCCTCCTTCCGTTTAAAAAAAAAAATCTCCATCCACATGAAAACGCAAACGCATTCTATGAAGCACTGTCAAGAGCATGCCAAACCAACAGGTGGCGATATAATCTCAACCGTAAAGCCATGTTGGCCAATCAGAAGCCTGAAAAAGTTTCCAGTAGGCAGAGATAACAGCGCAGGCTCCGACGTCACAAGCCAAAAATTCCGGTTTTGCTGTTTACATGATAACACTGCAACCGGAGTTTTTGAAAATCTTCACCCTGGCAGGAGTTTTCAAACATGTTCGGTTTCAGTGACTTGGTGCTGCGTTTGCATGTGGACGAACGGCCAAACCGCATAGAAAAAGCTGTGGTTTTAAAAATAACCGTGTTCGTGTGGACGGGGACCGTGCACAAATCTCAGTGCTGTGCACAGAGGAGGAAGTGCTACGATCTCTCACTCTCTCAAGCGGTAAGCAGTAGGGCTGGGACAATAAATCAATGCATCGCGAATCCAGAAATGATTCTGCATCGATTCTAAGATTTTCCGAAGGCATCGCGATTCTCTCTTGAATCGATTCTGAGCTTAGTTTTTAACATCAGATGGCACTGCGTACTTTAGAAATAGCCGTATTCTGCTTGCTTCCAGTTCCTATACACACGCACCATTTTAACCTAAAATAATCATTCATCAAGTTAGAAAAGGTTGAAGCGAATTACAAGGATGTTCACAGTGGGCTGTGTTTACATTAATCTCACATCATAAAAGTAGATGTGCAAGTACATTTAACCACTTACATTACTCAGCCGAATGCACAAGCGCTCTTCTTCGTGAGCATTTGCGTGTGCGGTTAAAAACTAGACTAGAGCGCCATCTGCTGTTAAAAACTAAGCTCAGAATCCATTCAAGAGAGAATCACGATGCATTCCGAAAATATCAAAATCGATCCATGAATCGCGATGCAACGATTTATTGTCCCAGCCCTAGTAAGCAGCCCCCTGCCTCAGAATGGCGGTCTGCCTTCCATAAAGCATTGAGCTTTGGCCGCTCGCTTACTCTCATCATATGCAGCTCCCCATCTCAGAGCGGTGATCGGTCATGTATAGAGTACAAAGCGTTCCAGCCACTCATTTGCTCATGCAATATAAGCAGCTCCCCATCTCAAAGCGGCGGTCTGTCCTATATTAAATGCTCTGGCCACTCGCTTCCATTGCCTTCTGAGTTGAACACCGGCTTTGCTGCTGTTTTCTCATATGGGTGTGAAGTATTGCTTACACTATCCATAATGCATGCTGGCGTGGCAGACGTTCATCGCCTCCTGTGATAAGCACCAGCGCAGCTGTTGTTTATGTGGGTGTGTAGTGCTGCGTATGTTAGCTACTGTGCACACTGCCGCTGTTCATCGCTTTCTATATAAGCACTGGCTGTGCTGCTGCTTTTGTGAGGAGGCGTTACGTACGCTACTGCTGCTTATGCTGGTGCTGCGCTATTCTTTGCCTTTCTATGTTAAACACTGGCTAGCCATTGTGTTTCATAAAGGAGTGTAGTGTCGCTTACACTAGTCACTGTACACTCTAGCACTGACACCGGCCATCATATGATGATGCACCAGGTATACCACTGTTTTCAACACTGTTTCTCTACAATCGCTTTACACAACTGTTATCTAGCCCTGTTATCTAGCCCTTGCTCTACATGACTGTTATCTAGCAATGAATCCAGAGAACGATCGTGGCCAAAACACCGTCTTTTGTAATCAAAAACGAGTTGCCTTTGAGCAATAACTGTTCTGTTGTGTGGCGTGACAGCTTGTAAGACAGAATACCGAAAGTTCTTCTGTATTGGAAGAACAGTGTCTAGTTCCCTCCTCTCAGGGAAACAAGGTTACGTTAGGTACACTCTTAAAAATAAAGGTGCTTCAAAAGGTTTTTCAAGCGATGCCATAGAAGAACCATTTTTGGTTCCACAAAGAACCATTCAGTCAAAGGTTCTTTAAAGAACCATCTCTTTCTTACCTTTTTATAATCTGAAGAACCTTCTTTCGCCCCAAAGAACCTTTTGTGAAACAGATCTTTCTTCAGATGTTAAAGGTTCTTTATGGAACCATTTAGACAAAAAAGGTTCTTCTATGGCATCGTGAAGCACCTTTATTTTTAAGAGTGTAACCGGAGACGTTTTGAACTGCCGTCTTTTCTCTGGTAAGATAAAGTTCCAAATAAAGCGCTTCTGTCCATGCCATTGTACGGAGCCATGACATGCTCTTCTGGGGACTCCAGAGAGTTCATTATCAGAATGCTCCCCCAGACTGCTCACGCTGAAACAGATCCTCTCGCAGGCTGGCCAGAGGACTGTTATTTCATTCAATCTGGAGAATGCCTGCCTCTATGTTCAGAGCATTACAAGTGTTGTCTGATGTTGCTTCATAGAGTCGACTGCTCGATAGAGATTCGTCTCCACTCCATGAGGAGTCTGGCATCATCTCGGACATGAACTAAGGCATGTCTGTTCAGGATATTTGGTTTGCGGCGAGTTGGTCCACGCAAAATGCTTTCACTAGGTTTTATAACCTGAAAATTCCCCTTTTTCGCACTGCATGTTCTGTCTGTGCAGGGGAAGACGGCTGAGCAACCATTGGATGACAGAGATTTTGTGGCCACGCTCCTCTCTGGCACATGTTTCAACTAGGTTGTATATGTGCCATTGCTCGCACTAATAGCTACTGCATATGCAAAACTGATGCATCCATGACACAGCTTTCTGTGTTCTATTATTTCAGTAGTATTCAGGCACTACAGCTGTAGCTATCTGCTCTGTTTCTGTGCTTATGAACTTGGTTCTTCCAGCAGATTTATGCTGGACACTGTGAATATGTCACTCGTAAGAGCTGGTTTAATGTTGTATGTACCAATACGCTTGTTGTTTATTATTACCGCGCTCTGCATTTCATTAGTCAAGCTATGCTTGAATGTGTACATTCATGAAATGTTTGAACGCGGCTCTCTCTATTGAAACGTACGGTGCTCACACTGTGAAAGTCACACATCCCGGGGTAAACATTGCTAAGCGATAGTGCCGTCGCCTATCCATGTGTCTGTGTTTCTGAATGGCTGCGGTTAATGCAATCTGTCTAATGCTTGTGCAACTTGCTCTTATAGCTGCTATGCCACTTAGTTTATGAAGTCTTCCGTTGTGTGAAGTACTTTTTGCTGAGGTCAACGGCTTTGCTTGCAGCCGATTTGGACCTTCGCTATCAACACAGTGGGATTTTAAACAATCCCCAAATCTTCAATGATGCAGTGTCGAGAGACTGACTCGACAGGGAACGTCTCCGGTTACCTAACGTAACCTCAGTTCCCTGAGCGGAGGGGATGAGAATGTGTACATTCATGAAATGTGTACACTCTCTCCCCTCTAAACGAGTAGAGCTCACGCACTGGATTATGACTGATCATAGTCCATTCAGGGAGTGTATTAAACCATCACAGTCTTCTGCTTCTCAACCACCCAGAGAGTGCAACTGGACTTTGTTGTGATGCGAGCTCGCATTTCACAGGGGTGCTCACAGTTTGTAATTCATACTTCCATTCATTACGAGCTGAGAAGTTTCTGCCTTTAAGAGTTCCCAGGAAGCACTCAGGCTGCGGCTTTGGCAGAGTGCTTTGCTCCGCTTATGTCTGCTTATGTCTGTTCTCATGTCCTCCGCTCGTTGCTGGCGACAGGAACTGTAATGGCCTTTGTGTCCGGATC